CAGAACACACACGTGCATGCACGCGCACGTGCACGCGCACACACACACACACACACACACACACACCCCATTCCTGATTTCTCCTGAAGAGCAGGCGATCTTGCTGGGAGGAAGCTAAGGGGCCACGCACGTCCGTGTGGACTTTTGGATCGTGGAAGTAAACAGCAGAAGAAAGGCAACATTTCAACCCATGGAGAAAAAGACGGATTACTTAATACATGGGGCTGCAATAATCAGTTGAGAACTTGGAAATTACTAAGTTATGATTGTACATCACACATCTACCCAAATCTACTTCTGAAAAGTTAAAAAAAATGAAAGGAATTAAAACAATACATTGGACAACAAAAGAAGGCCAGGGGACCCGCGTGGGATGGAGTGAGTGAGGGGGGGAAGAAGTAGGTGGTGGCATCACAGAGACAAGGGCGGGAAGGAAGATTGCGTAGGACCTCGTAGGCCGTTTCAGCACTTTGCGTTTTACTTTGAGTGAGGTGGGAGCCATAGCAGGTTGCTGAGCAAAGGAGTGATGTGGTCTCATGTGTGTGTTAAAAGGATGCCTCTGCCCAAGGAAGACATACAGATGGCCAATATGTACATAAAAAGGTGCTTAACATCACCAATCACCAGGGAAATGCAAATCGAAGCCACAATGAGGTATCACCCCACACCTGTCAGAATGGCCATTATCGCCAAGACAAGAAATAGCACGTGTTGGCGAGGCTCTGGAGAAAAGGGAGCCCTTGTGTTCTGTGGGTAGGAGAGTCAATTGGTGCAGCCTTGGTGGAAAACAGCATGGAGTTTCCCCCCAAAATTAAAAATAGAACAGCCCTGTGATCCAGCAATCCCATATCTGGGTATTTATCCAAAGAGAATGAAAACACTGACTCAAAAAGATATAGGCCCCCTCCTGTTCAATGCAATACTATGTACAGCGACCAAGAGATGGAAACAACCCAAGTGTCCATCTGTGAATGAATGGATAAAGAAGATGGGGTAATGGAGTATTACTCAGCCATCAAAAAGAATGAAATCTTGCCATTTGCAATGACGTGCATGGACCTTGAGGGCCTTACGCTAAGTGAAGTAAGTCACACAGAGAAAGGCAAATACCATATAACCTCACTTTGTTTTGGAATTCAAAAACAAACAAACAAAATGAACTCACAGAGACATAGAACAGATGGGTGGTTACCAGAGATAGGAAGAGTGGTGCTCAGTCAGTTAAGCGGCCGACTTTTGATTTCAGCTTAGGTCATGATCTCAGGGTCCTGGGGCTCGATCCCCTGTGCTCAGTGGCGAGTCTGCTTGAGGATTTTCTCTCTCCCTCTGCCCCTCCCCCTGCTCACACTTTCTCTCTCTTTCTCAAATAAATCTTAAAAAAAAAAAAAAGAAAGTTTAAAAAAAAGGTACAAACTTCTGGTTATAAAATGAATGTCATGGGGATGCAACATACAGCATGACCATAGTTAATCATATTGTATTGCACATCCGAAAGTAGCCAGCAAGTAGATCTTTAAAGTGTTCAACACAAGGAAACAAATTTTGTAACTACGTGTGGTGACAGGTATTAACTAGGCGACTGTGATCATTTTGCGATATACACAAATATCGAATCACTATGTTGTACACCTGAAACTAATGTAATCTTATATGTCAATTATACCTCAGTTAAAAAAAAAAAAAAAAAAAAGGATGTCTCCAGCTGCTGTATGAACACGCTCTAGAGATAACAGAGGCTGTTGCAAAGGTCCAGGGGAGAGAGAAGGACACAGCAGACGAGGAAGGAGTGATCGGGTTCTGGATGGATCTAAAGGTAAAGCCAGCAGAATACCCTGAAAAGGAAGGCGTGGGATCTGAGAGAAGGAAGAGAGGCAGGAGGGCTCCAAGGTTTCTGGCCGCAGTACCTGGAAGGTCGGCAAGGCTTATTTGATCATGTGCCCAGAACCGTCGAGGACGTAGGGGAAAGCAACTCCTACGGGTGTGGTGTAAACTGGTGCACTCTGTCGTCAGGCCAGTAGGAGCAGGAATTACAAAAGCCCTAAAAATCTGGACCTTGTGTGAATCCTGATGAGAGCAAATAGGAAATGGGCACTTTTGAGATAATCGTAATAGAGAAGTCTGCTGATTTAAGTTAGAGACATACGCTGATGTGATTATGGATGAAATTATATGATGTCTGGGCTTTGCTTTAAAATACTCTAGGACGGGGGCGCCTGGGTGGCTCAGTCAATTAAGCATCCGCCTTAAGCTCGGGTCATGATCCCAGGGTCCTGGGATCGAGCCCCGTGTCGGGCTCCCAGCTCGGCGAGAAGCCTGCTTCTCCCTCTCCCACTCCCCCTGCTTGTGTTCCTTCTCTCGCTGTCTCTCTCTGTCAAATAAATAAATAAATAAAATTAAAAAAAATAAAAATAAAAAAAATACTCCAGGATGAAAATGCTTGGGGGCAGAGGTGATAGATGAAATAGGAGACGTAAAATGTTAAAAATCATTGAAGCACAGGGATGGCTACTCAAGGGTTTATATTATCCTCTCTGTGTTTCAGGATGCTTGATGATTGCCATAATAAAGATATTTTAAAGTGTGTATACCTTTAGACACAGTGATACCATTTGTAGGAATTTATCCTAAAAGAGATGTGTACAAAGATTCATCCACAAAGATATGTATCACAGCCTTATATTTAATAATAAAAATGGGAAACCACAAACAATAGGTAATTAGCTAAATTTATGATAATAAGCCATTCAGTTGAAAAGAGTAGGAAGATCAGAAATTGGTCTGGATTAATACAAAATTCAGTATATGACAAGAGTGACATTTCAAATAATGATTCAATAAATGCTGTCAGGACAACTAAGTAGATACCTGAAAAAAACAAGAATAAAACCATCCTCCACACTTTCCACCAAAATAAATTCCAGAAGGATCAAAGGTTAAATATATAAAATGAAGTCATAATTGTAATAGAAAAAAAAAAAACCAGGAAATTTTCGTATCATCTCAGAGCAGATAAAAGGCTGTACTAAGTAGGGAATACCAAAAGCTATAAAAGATCGATAATTCTACCTAATTTTTAAAAGCTTTAAAAATATTAAAACTTTTGTCATGTCAAAAAACTATAGCAAGTGACATCAAAGATCAGAAACAAGGTGAAAATATTCACAGTGTATATTACAAATGAGGAGCCCATTTCCCTTATACTGAAAAAACTCTTACGTACATCAAGAAAAAGGCCAACCAACCAAAAGAAAAATCTTCAGAAAATATGAGCAGATAGTTTCTAAGAAAGGAATTACAAATGGCTCTTAAACACATAAAACAATGTTCAACCTAACTCATAATAAGAGAAATGCAAAGTAAAATGACCTTTGTATAATGTATTTTACCTGGGAGGCAGGTAAAGCTCAAGAACTTTGAGAGCACACTGTGGTAGATAAAGTTGTGGGCAGCAGGCCCTCTAAACACTGGGGGCAAGACTTCAAATTAGTAGAATCTCTTTGAAGTGAAGTAGGGCAATCTCGATTCCATTAAAAATAGAGCACACTTTAACTAAACGGTTCTACCTGTAGACGCATACCCTACTGGTATTTATGCACACACATACCGAAGGAAGGATGAGCCATGCCTTTGGTTGCAACATTATTTATGTATTTGTTTAAAGATCAGATTTTAATGGTAATAAGGAATTACTGTTAATCACGGTAGGTGTGATATTAGGATTTTTTAAGTCCTTCTTTTTAGAAATCTACACTCAGATAATTACAGATGAAATGATGTAATGTCTGGGATTTGCTGTAAAATCATAGAGGGAAGAGGAAGGTTGGCAGATTGGGTGCAGATGGAACAAGCTTGGTCCCAAGTTAAAGCTGGGTGATGGGTCCCCATGGGTGTACATGACACTTGTATTTTCCACCATAAAACACTGAAAATTAAAGAAATCTGAATGAATTCAAATACCCACTAACAGAAAATTGGTTAAATCGGGTACACTCTACCCAAACAATGGAAGACCATGCAGCCATAAAGAGAATAAGAATCTTCTTTATATCCTGATGTGGAATGACCTGCAAGATGTGTTGTTCAATGAAAAAAGCAAGATGCAAAAAGGTGTCCATCAAATACTACCTTTTGTGTAAAAATAATTAAAAAAAAAAAAAAACCCACAGCACAAACTTGCTTGTACACGGGCTATCCCTGGGTGAATATACAGGAATCAGACAACCATGGCTCGGCGCCCCTGCGGACGGGAACTGGGTGGAGGGAGGAAGGACAGGAATCGAGGGACGCTTTCACATACACTTTTCTGCCTTGTGAAATGTGCGCCATGAATGTCTTAGCTAGTCACATAAACAAAATGTATGGCTATAAAAATACACACTAAGCCATCAATAGTGGTTATCGCTGAAGGTTAAGGGTTAGGAGTGATTATTATGGTTTTCCAAATACTGTCCAAGGAACACGTAATCTGAGGAGAGAGAAGGTTATGTGGGGAAGGGCAGAAACCAGGAAATGACCTCATCAAAGAGCTTGTGTCAACCATCAAACGGAAAGTGACCCACGGTCCTCAAGTTGCCCGCTGCTTTTACGGCCCTCTTGCTGCCAGCACCCCCAAGTTGCAACGTGCTGAGCACCCACAGGTCGTCAGGGACCAGGTTGGGTGGGGACCCAATGCAGGGTGAGATCTGCCCTGCAAGCACTCATGATGGGACAGGTGGGAAGAGAGGCAGAAACCCAGGCCGGCGTGACAGCTCTATGTGATACAATACCGCAACTTAAGAAAGCTGAGGGGCGAGGGGGGCTGGAGGGATGCATGGTGGGAGGGGTGGGGTATGAAGGGGTCACAGGAGGAAACTAATTTTGCAGTAGGAAATGCATAAGATCTCTACAGATGGATAGTAATTGGATTCAAGATTATACGGTGATGATTCAGTTTAGTGTCAACAATAAAATGGCTGACCCCATTTGTTAATTGGCGTCCCTTGGTGACTCAATGTTGGAACAGTTCCTCATCATTTACATTGGTCCTCCAGTGCAGAGCTGAGCTAAATTTACTAATCATTCCTCTTCATGCCTTTAAACTTCTGCCATGCCTCGGAACAACAATCTTGCTCCATTTCTAGACTCCTGGGCTATTCTAAGTGACCTCCATATCCTTAACTGCTGCTTCCCTCCTATCTTTTACTCCCACTCCCTTCACCCATGGCCACGTTCTGATCCTCATCCTTGCCCAACATAGCTCCAACTCTGAATCTTAAGCTCTAAAATTTCACTCTTGTACCACAACCTGCTATTTTTCCAAGTGTCACTCCCACCCAGCTGCTCTTCAGCCTTCTGAAACCATCAACCCCCAGCGTTTCTCCAGACCATCAGCCCTCCTGAGTCTCCTTTTCCTACTCAACCCAACTAGAAGTTGCATCCCACTTCTGTCACCAGACACAATCCTTTCCCCATGCCTCTATTCAAGTCCTTCATGATTCTCCCCAAACTCCCAACCCCACCTCCCAAATCCACCCCCAAAGCCTCAGTGAATCCTGTAGTCCTCCAAGTGCTCCTCAGAAGAGAAAGAGGTTATTGGCTCCTCACCCCTTCTCCCAGGTAAGCTTACCTACTGCAAAATGCATCTTGTGTCCTCTCGTGTTTTCGAGAAAAGAGGTGTCCCATCCCACTTGCTTTGCATGGGGACTCAAAACAGGCTCCTTTAGGGTCAGATGGCCCCAAGGCCTGAGGCCACTGCCAGTGTCTCTCACTCCCTCACAGTTCCTAACTCGGATGAAGCACCACACTCAGTATGCAATCTTACCTCCCTCATGGTAGCCAGAAGGGCTAGATGACCCACTCCAGAAGTACATGAGTATTAACTTCTCGAAAAGTCAGTTTTGACAAAACAGAGAAGGAGAGAGCTAGGAAGTGAATTCCCTGTCCATTCCTCTCTCCAGCGGACTGTCCCCAGATAGTGTTTCTGGATAGCCTATGTGGACACATCCTGCATAGCTAAGACCTCATAAAACAGTGGCCAATCTAGCAACGCTTTGTTTGGTGTTTGCTTCTCATCCTTCCCTCTATCACTTCTCTTTTCCCTCATTCTGTTGCCTTGGGTCTGTATCTCCACAAAGACATTAGCACTTAAGCCTTACCTCAGGCTCTGCTTTTCAGAGCTAACATGCCATGTGTGCTATAAATTCCATTACTTCCTTCCTGTCCAGAGAGTTAGAACCTTATTTTCTCCTTTCTATGACACAGTTTTTTATAAATGCAGAAAAGCCTAGAGAATGCTGTCAGTGAACCCCTGTAAACCCACAACTAAACTAAGTCAAATCTTAACATTTTGCAATTTTGATTTAATTTTTTTAGAAAAACAAAAAGAAGTTAGGTTTCACACATACAAGTGGTGTTCCCTGTATCTCTCTCCTTGATCCTATTTCCTTCACCCCACAGATAAAATCACTATCTTGAATTTAGTACTGATCATTCCCATTCATGTTTAAAAAAAAAAAATCTCTACTTCTTATCATAAAAGATTTCACACATAGGAGTCCAGAAAAGAGAATATTAAACATGTGTTTACCTAACCCAGTCCCTTACCAAGTCTATACATTACACCATATTTACTTCCAATGTCTTCATGACTTCATGGAAGTATAATTTACATACACTAGTTTGAAATCCCTTATAGATCATTTTCTATTTCCTCTCTTCCATCCAACTGTAACCACTATCATGACTTCAGGTCGTATTGCTGTCTTGGACTTTCATCTGCATTCTGAAGATACATGCATGTGTGTGGGTGTGTGTGGGGGGGTGCTGGGCATGCATACACAATATAATGAATACAAAACACATATACACACGTATACATCTACACATATGACCCATATAACTTGAGATTGCTTAAACTACTATATAATATTCCATCTCCAGCTGATGGGTACATAGGTTGCTGGAACTTTTTTATATGAAAGGTATCCCCACAGTGAATAATTCTGCATCCTGTGTAGACAGCGCCTGTCTAGAAGCTGCACAATCAGTTACAAGCTGGAGGCCAGGGAATAATTGTACCCAAATACACAGGACTTGCTCCTGCCCTCTGGTAACACTGTGTGTCCCCGTCTAATGAAATGAGTGTCTTCGCCTGTGAGAGGGGTCTCTCTCAGACCTTCTCACCCACCAGGAAAGCTGAAGTATGAAGTACAATTGATGGACACTGTGCACTGACTAAAAATAACACTGTAAAGTCTTACTAACATGGAAAATGCTCATTATTTATTGTCAAGGAGAAAATAAATTTCTAAACATTATGTGTTGTGTGACCATCATTTTCAATGATGAGATTATACTGGGGTGCCTGGGTGGCTCAGTTGGTTAAGCGACTGCCTTCAGCTCAGGTCATGATCCCGGAGTCCCAGGATCGAGTCCCACATCGGGCTCCCTGCTCAGCAAGGAGTCTGCTTCTCCCTCTGACCCTCCTCTCTCTCATGCTCTCTGTCTCTCATTCTCTCTCTCTCAAATAAATAAAATCTTAAAAAAAAAAAATTTTTTTTTTTTAAATTTTTTAAAAATGATGAGATTATACTGAAAAGATCCAGGAGCCAGCCTGAAGGGGCTGCAGCTAACATGAAAATAAACAATGACCGGAAGAGATAATGATCTATTGAATAAAATGGAAATTTATGAACCAATACAGATATCAATGGATGGATGGATGGATGGATGGATGAACAGAGATAATAAAAGGTTTTTGCTTACAGCATTATGCCAATAAATGCACAAGGAATGTTGGGCTTCAAAAAACAATCATTTGGTAATCACCATCGCAATTACTGATTCAGGCAAGAATCCCTAATGGATACTAAAACTTGAGGGTGAAAGTTTGATGAGGATCAGATATTGATAAATTTCAAAGTATTTCCCCACTAAATACTTATTAATTATGAAGGGGAAAGAGTCACTTTACACTGAGAAGTCTGGCAGACTCTATCTTAATTCAGCGATCAAAGTTAATGTCACGAGTAATGGTGCAGATCATCATTATATGTCACCTGCTCCAATGTTGTGAGAGTGACACGTCATCATTGCTTCTGTGATATTTCTGCAGAAGCTGCATAAACTTAAATCCAACCATGGGTACTGGACATACCCAAGGAGGGACATGTTACAGAATAAGTGGCCTATAATGTCAAAGATGTCCACACGGCGAGAGCCAAAAACAAAAACAAAAACACACCCAAAGCAAACACAAAACCTAAGGAATCTCTTGAAATTGGAGGAAAAAGAAAGACATCACAGATAAATGCTAAATATGCTCTTGGGCTGGATGAGTTGGCTAGAAAGAGGGTAACTGGGATAGCTGGGAAATCTGACTGGTGACTGTGGATACCGTGGTGGTCCTGCATGATACTAGTCTCCTGATTCTGCTGATGCTATCATGATTAACCAGAAGACTGTGGAAAATATGCATAGAGCATTCAAGAATAGTGGGACATCATATCTGCTACTTACTCTACAAAGATTTAGAAAAACTAATTATATATATTTGCAAGGGAGAGAGAATGGTAAAGCACATATGGCCAAATGTCAACAATCAGAGAAGCTGGGTGAGAGATATATGGGAGTTCACTGTACTATCCTTGAATCTGTCTCTCTATTTGAAATTATTGAAAATAAAATGGTAAAAAATAAAAGAACTGTGTGATGTCAATTTAATTACATCCGCATGGTCAAATATAACGCACAGTCAAAAATCCCATCTACTAAAGGACATGAGAAAATCTATTTTCTTTAAATACTGGGATAAAAACTACATAAGCAATATGATTTGCACTGTAAAAACCCGTGCCTAGGGAAAGAAAGACAGGAAGTAAATACAACAAAATGCAGAGATAAATTACCATAGAGTGGTGATATTTCAGATGACTGCAGGCAGTTGGTGATGGTCCTTATATTTTATTTACAAATGCATCTGTGTGTCTGATTTTATTTTATTTTTTTTAAGATTTTATTTATTTATTTGAGAGAGAGCACAGGCAAGGGGGGAGGCAGAGGGAGAGGGAGAAGCAGACTCCCTGCTGAGCAGGGAGCCCGATGTGGGGCTCAGTCCCAGGACTCCAGGATCATGACCTGAGCAGAAGGCAGACGCTTAAGCGACTGAGCCACCCAGACACCCCTGATTTTATATTTTATAACCAAATATTATTTTAAAAAATAAAACCAAAATGGGGCGCCTGGGTGGCTCAGTCAGTTGTGTGTCCGATTCTTGGTTTCAGCTCAGGTCATGATCTCTGGGTCATGGGATCAAACCCCATGTGCTGAGTGCAGAGTCTCCTTCAGATTCTCTCTCCCTCTGCCCCTCCCCTCCTTCTCTCTCTCTCCCTCCCTCTCTCTCTCAAATAAATAAAATCTTAACAACAACAACAACAAAAAGGCAATGAATGAACTGAAAACTTCACTTAAAATGCCCTCTCCCTTCTGGGGTCCATTTCTCGAAACGAGGCCACCAGAAGTCTCGGAGTGGAAATCTACTTTCACAAAACTTGAGGCCATCTGTTCTTATCCCCGATTCTTTTGGAAACTGTTTTTTCCCAACTCTTATTAATCAATTCCTCTGGGAGGAGCAAACCAGTCACAGACTCTACCCTTAGAAGGGTTTCCAAGGTACATATTTTAGCACGGGCAAAGAACTGAGTTAGCTAATCTTCAAAGAAGGTGCCTGCCATCCCATTCGACAACATAAAAAGTCATTTGTTTGGAGGGATAAAAGCCATTTCAACATGAAAATTGGTTCATGACAATATGCCTGATAAAAACAGCATGCAGCAGAGCTGTTGGCCAACCCATCTCCCCACTGTGCCCTCCCTCTCACTCATTACCCTTCCTCTCTCGTGTTGCTCGAATGGAAAATGAGGTTCTCTCAATGGAAAAATGAGTTGGGACACTTTTTTTTTTTAACCCTGGAGCAGTGAACCAGGACTGTTCACACATTCTATGAAAAAACAAAACAAAACAAAAACCGGGGCGCCTGGGTGGCTCA